CCACTTCCGGTTTTCTGGTGGTTCATTGCAGATGAGAGTCTCATGGACTTTCCTGTCCGGGCTGGCTTTGAACCACGATCCTCAGATCTCAGCCTGCTGAGTAGCGAGGATTATAGGCGTGAGCCACTGGCACTTGGCCATATATCCTTTTTGTTGTTCTTTAACTAAATCCTGTGTTATTAAATTCATCTCCAAATGCCAACCGCTTAGGTTTGCCAACAGAATGTACCGGCGTTCCATGAAGGGCCAGGCGCTGCTGCCGTGATGGGGATGGGAGAGTGGACGGAGGGGCGGGCATGCTTGTGAGCAGGGGACCCAGGCACCACACCAGGGAGACCCAGGGGTGGGCTGGTGCGCACGCCAGCGGCCTGGGCTCCCTTCCGACCCTCCTACCACATCCGTGGGCATCTCACGCAGGTGTGGATGGATGCCGGCACCCAGATCTTCTTCTCCTTTGCCATCGGCCAGGGGTGTCTGACAGCACTGGGCAGCTACAACAAGTACCACAACAACTGCTACAGGTGAGGACAGCCCTTCCCGAGGGGACAGGGATTCCACTGGGGGATGGGGGGGGGCTGAGCAAAGACCCACCAGCCTGGGCCGGCCCCGACACTGCAGCTCTGCTCTCAGACCTTGCCTCTCGCCTTGTCTTTCCTCGTTTGTCCCCCCTTCCCTCTTCACCCGTCCCCTCTCCCTCTCCATGCCTGCCTGCATCTTCCTGCGTGCACACAGGGACTCCATCGCCCTCTGCTTCCTGAACAGCGCCACCAGCTTTGTGGCGGGCTTTGTCGTCTTCTCCATCCTGGGCTTCATGTCCCAAGAACAAGGGGTGCCCATTTCCGAGGTGGCCGAGTCAGGTGAGTGGCCTCCCGGCCTCGCAGCTGTGGTCCTCCTGCAGACCGGAGGAACCGGAGCCCCGGCTTCAGGACCCTTTCAGCGTCAGGGGCAGACAGTGTGGGACACACTGGGTTTCTAGAATGAGATGGGGATGGGGAAAGGGGAAACGCTTGCATGCATGTGTTTATGAAGGAATGGATGAACAAATGAATGTATAGATGGATGGATGCATGGATGGTGGATGGATGGATGGATGATGGATGAATGGATGGGTGGGTGGGTGGATGGATGGATG